GATCTTTGTTTAAATAAATCAAATATATTCTTATAGCTATAGATGATATATTTATAAAATTTTAGAATTATTTGTTTAATTTAATTTTTTATAAATGGCAATTACTTTTTAGGGGTTTGGGATTTGTCCAGGTTTGGCCAACAAGTATAGTCACAATACCCACCTGCGTCATAATACCCGACTCTCCCTTATAATTTTTATTTTGTGCTTGTTGACCGATCGGTAGGTTACGCACCTCACCTGACGATCTGCATCTGAGGTGCGTCAGTTGTGATCTGAGGCATTAGTCTGAGGCACAACATATATACTGTATATATATATATATATATATATATAGAATATATAGATATATACGTATAAATATATCAATATAATGAATGCTATATATATAGTGTGTATATATATATAGCGTATACGCAATATTGTAAATCAAGTTGCCAATCAATCGATCGAGATTTAAAGAGCTTAAATAGAAAATGTCGCCAAATCTATTCCCAATTTCAGTAGAATATTAGTTTTAGCAAATTTATTACATACAGATAAACTGTCACTTCTTTAAAATAAAATAATTGCTTTTTCCGGTCATTTCGTGCATTTTGTGATGGGTGATCCTTTATTATGTTCGTTAAGTCAATGTATCATTGACGATATTAAATTTTCGGGTGAGCAAAGTTACTACTTGCTAAAAAAAAACAAAAGAAAAAAAAAAAATACTAGAAATCGTTTTCTGAATCATACTGTCAATCTGTTCTAGACGGAACCTTCCAAAAAGATGTTCTAGGTGGTGGTGGCGTGTACGCGACATATGGTATACTTTTAAAGTTTGAACGTTAAATAATTCTATTACGCCTTTCTTACAAGTTAAAATCTTTCGATAACAGGGATGAGAATATGGTTTTCGCATCAAGAATCTCAACGTATAGCATATTCTTTTCACAGTGGATACGATTTTCCCCTTAACATCCTTCAAAGTTTATTGGAGCTCAATATATCACTTACACAAATATGGCATTCGAATCTACCCTCTATTCGCGGGTTAAATACATTCAAAAGTGCGAATCATCGTGTATTCGCATATCAAACACCACCTATAGGAACGGTTCCGGCGGATCTACCAAGTTCTTATTTGAATGCCAAAATTTTTCATTTTATTTGTTCATCAATTTGGGCCTCGCAACATGTCACA